AGGCGCGCTGCCCCTCCTGCCCATCCGAGCTCTCATCCTCCCCCTTCTGCTCCTCCTCCTCCTCCTCCTGCTGCTGCTGCTGCTGCTCCTTCTGCTCCTGGCCCTCCCCACTTTATTCCCTGATCCTCCCTGCTCTTCCTCCTCCCCCCCCCAAAAAAAAAGCTCCTGCCTGTCGAGCCACTAGACGACTGGGCAGGGCGGGCCGGGCGTTTCGCCGCCAGTCTTCAACACGCGGTTTTCGCCCAAGCGCTGGGCACGCTTCGTCGAAGCTGTTTTGTAACAGCTTCGAGGGTGGAGGGCAGCTGGCTTTCAAGACGTGGTTCTCGCCTTGGCGCCGCGCCCACTTGTCTTTAAAATGCAGCATTCTAAACCATGGAGGGCGGCTCGTCTTCAAAACGTGGTTCCCGCCATCGTGCCGCGCACATTCGTCTTACAAGTTCGCGAGCCGTTTCAGGATTCGTACGGTTGAAGTCCCAGGAGTTGTGCTTTGGAACGGTTGAGGAGCAACCGTCACGCCGATTCTGTCTCTGGCACGATTGGGGATTCTCAGACAGCTGTCTTTTTGGTCTCTGGCACGAGTGAGGACTCCCTGGGACGGTGGTCCTCCTCCTCCTTCTCCTCCTCCTCTTCCTCTTCCGGCGCGCGCCGGTCTCTCCCGCGGCTGGCGCTGGCGCACTGCGATCGGGAGCCGGTAGACACCTCCGCCGCCCGTTCGCCAGGGAGGGCGGCTCCCCTGGTGGGGCCAGCCGCCGAAGGCGGCGGGGTCTGCCAGCCGGGGACGGGGCCGTGGTCCTCCTTCTCCTCCTCCTCCTTCTCTTCTGTCTCCTTCTCCTCCTCCTCCTCCTCCTCCTCCTCCTCCTCCTCCTCCTCCTCCTCCTTCTCTTCCGCCTCCTCCTCCTTCTTTTCCGCCTCCTTCTCCTCATCATCTTCCTCTTGTTTTCTCCTCCTCCTCTCCTCCTCCTCATTCCTACCCCTCCTCCTCCTCATCCTACGCCTCCTCCTCCTCCTCCTCCTCCTCCTCCTCCTCCTCTTCCTTTTCCGCCTCATCCCAGTCACCCCCCTGCCCCTTTCCCTTCTCCCCCCTGCTCGGGGTTCGCGCGGGAGGCTGGAGCCGAGTGCCACGCCCCTCGGGTCGGGCGGCTGCGAGGACCAGCAGCCCCGCCTCCTTCTCACGTGCCGCGTCAGCCGCTCCTCTCGCGGACGCACTGGGGGGCGGCGGGGCACTCCGGAAACGCTTCCGCATTCGCCCCGGCGCTCCAGAGGAGCCTCCTCCTCTCTCCTCCTCCCCCTCCCGCCCTCCCCCCCCTCCCCCTCCCCCTCCCCTCCCTCACACTCCCTTCCCTCCCCTCCCCCCCCTCCCCTCCCCTCCCCTCCCCCTCTCCTCCCATCTTCCCTCCCTCATCCCTTCCTCCATCACCTCCCCTATCCTACTCCTCCCTCCCCCCCTCCCTCCCTCACTCCCCTCCCTCCCTCCCCTCCCTCCCTCCCTTCCTCCTTCCGTCGTGACTCGCAATGCACTGTCGCAGATGAGACTTTCATTCCCGAATAGCGTTTCGCTATGTTGTCTTAATAGGAAAGACCATGGAACAGTACCACAAAAGGGACGGGGGGGCTGAAATAGCCCTGCCTAGCTACGGTCCGGCGGCAGCTTCGCTTCAGATTTCCTGAAAATGTATCCAGGAATCGTGTTCTCGCCTCAATGCCGGCTACATGTTTGGCCTGGATGGCCAAGATCCCTCCTAAAACATGCGCTAAAATGCACCTGGGCAGGCTCTCCGTGTTCTGTTGCTGCTCTTCGCTTCGCCAAAACTCCATTTCCGCGTTCGCGGCCCCATAGGGTAGGGGGTACCACCGAAGGCCCCAGTGGGAGGGTTGCATGCGGTCCCCGTCCTATTTCGGCACACCTCTCACACGCTTCGTGCCCTCATAGGGTGATCAACCGAAAGCGTTAACCACAATGCGGTGCTCATAACTGCACATGATCGGGCCCCTCGCCAGGATCTATATTTCAACGACGCGAACATGCCTGGGTCGGGTACTTCCGCGGGTGGTCTTCGGGCCATTACTCGGGCCTCTAAAGACCGTTCGCGACGGTCTGGGCACCCCCGGAACGCTCTCGGCGAGGCGCAGTTATTGGAGAGCATCCCGAGGCTGGAGAGCCTCAGGACAGTTAGCGAAAGCGTCCGGGTATCATCATTCTCCCCCCTCTGGTTTCCCTCCCCCATCCCCTGACCTTAAATCTGCCGTGCTTAGGGTTAATTCGGAGGTAGGGCGGAATCGTCTGCCCTACTTTGCAAGCTGCTTTGATGCCGATGTCCGCCATACTTTACCGGCGCAATTCCGCCGCACCTCTGCAGGAGTAGCCGCCCTACTTGTCTGAGGCGGGACTTTCCGCCACACTCTTTCGCATCGTCGGGAGTGCATAACCGACACCTTCTACACCCTGCGAAATGCTTAAGAAATCATGGGTTAAGAAATTCATAGTCTCAGAACTTGAATAAAAACCCAACGTTTCCATTAAAACCTTAAGATTTACATTGAAATATTAAGAATAATCGAGACTATGGCCGAAAACTTAGGTTTTCTTAAGCATCGCCTAAGGTGTATGTCAGAAAATCAGCCAAAATACGACGAATCCGAAGTCAGGCCCTGCCCTCTGGTTCCCCTCCCCCTCCCCTCCGCCGTCCCCGCCCCTCGCTACAAGAACGGCGCCCATCATGCACCGTACCATGACTGAGGACTCCGTTCGGGCCCCGCTCCAGCGCACTACGGTGATAAACATGTTCGGCTCCGAGGGCCGCACAACTATGCACCGTGCCGTTCCCAGGTCGAGAATCGAGGACGCCTCGGGCGACGCCAACGCGGTACGGTAAGCTCGTAATTCTCGTGCCGTCTTCGGCGTTGGTTTCCAACACCGCGGGGCTCGTTCAACCTTGAACGTCCGGACGTTTCCGAAACGTCAGATCGCTCAACATCAACCGATTCTGGGTCGCTGGCAGCGTTCAACGTTGAACGCTGGCGGCGGGGTCGCCGCAGGTCGACACGACACGAACCTACCGTACGGTGCACACAAGTCGTCCACAGACACGTGGCGACATCCGAATCCTACCCCCCCCAAACCATCGATGACCTGAATCGAGAGGCGGCTGGGGCAGGGTTCGGATTTCGCCACGTGCTCAACACTCCCGAACCCTATCCCCGCCGACCATCAAATTGCCTGCATCGATGTCGACGAGGGTGCAGTCGGACCCAAGCCGGAAAAACATTCCTCAAGAACAAGAGATCTCTTCCTCCGGCCAAAACAAGCTGAACATCCAAGGGTGCCCTCCCCAGGATGCACGCGAACATCCAGCAGACACGAAGAACATGAGAGCATGAGGGTACTCTCCCCGAGCCGACCTCGATCCTACACCTCGGTCCGACTGTAGGTCGGATGTCGCCGCCGAGCGGTACGGCGCACAATGCCCAGCCCGCGGGCGCACGAAGGAGGAGGAGAAGGAGGAGGAGGAGGAGGAGGAGGAGGAGGAGGAGGGGGAGGAGGAGGAGGACGAGGAGGAGGAGGAGGAGGAGGAGGAGGAGGAGGAGGAGGAGGAGGAGGAGGAGGAGGAGGAGGAGGAGGAGGAGGAGGAGGAGGAGGAGGAGGAGGAGGAGGAGGAGGGGAGGAGGAGGAGGAGAGGAGGAGGAGGAGGAGGAGGAGGAGGAGGAGGAGGAGGAGGAGGGGAGGAGGAGGAGGAGGAGGAGGAGGTAGGAGGAGGAGGAGGGGAGGAAGAGGAGGAGGAGGAGGAGGAGGAGGAGGAGGAGGAGGAGGAGGAGGAGGAGGAGGGGAGGAGGAAGAAGGAGGAGAAGGAGGGGCAGGAGGAGGAGGAGGGAGGAGGAGGAGGAGGAGGAAGAGAGGAGGGAGAGGAGGAGGAGGAGGAGGAGGAGGAGGAGGAGGAGGAGGAGGAGGAGGAGGAGGGGGAGGAGGGGGAGGAGGAGGACGAAGAGGAAGAACCCCACACCCGAAGAGGACGAGGCAGGCGGCCAAGAGCAAGAGACGAAGCAAGAGCCCGTCAAGGGGCAAGAGAAGTCCGCTGCAACGCTGGGTGGTTTTCATGCTTGCCTGAGGAGCTGATGAATAGCACTACTACGCCTGGCAATTGCTCGGAGCCGAGCGTGAGCGTGCTGCACAGCACGCCTCGGACAGTGTAGACATTTCGCACGAGAGGCATTGAAGGCAGAGTAAATTAAATCGATCGCGACAGCGTGGGCAAGAATCTCGTCTTTGGACCTTGCTTCCCAAAAGCACGGCAGAATGATATTCGTGGCATCAGTCCCCCAGGAAAGGGGGCAAAGGGAGCTGGGCGAGCAAAAGAGGACGGAGGAAGGGGCACACAACATAGTGATTAATCTGGTCGCCAACAAGGTTTTGGCATCCGAAATGGCAATAAGAAGTGGCCTGGCGGAAACGCCTGCTAGTTGGCCACGCATTGAATATAGTACGCATCAAAGCCGTAGCACAGAAATGGGGCAAACATTTGGAGACTAGGAGGAGGCGGCATTGAATCAGATCCAGTTGAGGACGAGTAACTGGTGCATCCCAATAGCGTACTCTAGCACCAATAAGTTCTTCGACGTGTAGGACGGGTAGTTGACTATTTCTGACCTTCGTGAGCGCTCGTTGGAGACCTCTGGGGGGGCACACCTGAGGGGTAGTTAGGGAGGCTGGACGTGATCTGATACTGATTCATCATGTTGAAAAGGACGGAGCCGGAGAAGAGAGGATGTACATATCTGGCTGTGATCGGAGCGCCGTCAGACTCTAGCAAATTATGTAGCCAACCTCGCATCTCATGAAAGGCTGCACTCTGTTCAGCAGCTCGAACCATTGCCGCGCAAGACACGGTAGAGAGTCGAACGATATTTTTGCCGAGGCCCAGCGACTGCATGTTGAAAAAGACGGCGGGTGGGAACGCATGACAAGGAGCACGGACGAGGGCTTGGTGGCACTCTCGCTGCTGGGCCTGGCAGAACTTCGGGAGCGGCTGAAACTGCGCAACGTGACTACAAACAGGAGCAGCGTACACGTTGTAGGCCACGACGCTTTGCGTAAGACTCTGACCGAGCTCTTTGACTTCCTGAGTGCGGGACACGAACTTGGTAATGGGTCCGCGCCAAGCATCCTGTGCAGCATCGTGGCCTACGGTGACTCCTAGGTACACGGCGCTCTTCTGAATCTTGAATTCGACAATGTTGACCCGAATGTCCTGGTACATTTTCTTGATGCCGTTTTTGTTCGCGTGGTTAATCATCAACAGGATGCACTTGTTTACGTTCAGAACAAGGCCAGTGGAATTACCTGAGCAAACATGCAGGCGGAGCACAGTGGGAAAATATAAAAGCACATCGGCACAGACCAGTGCAATGTCGTCGGCGAGCGCCGTCAGACATACCTCTATCTGGGACTGCGAGGCCTTTATACACCGCAGCACTGGGTCAAGAATGAGCGCGAACAGGACACCTTGCAGTGGGCATCCCTGTTTCATACCTCTGGTAGCAAGAAAACGAAACGCATCTGGCCCAGGAGGGCCAATGAGCATGATGACGTTGGTATAGAGCTTTTTAGTGGCCCCTCGGATCTTATTCGGCAGGCACATCCTGTCCAAAACCTTGAAAATCCACCGGTGGTAAACGCTGGGGAACGCTTGCGCGAAGTCGAGCAGACAGCCTCCAGCATTCTTCTCACCAAGAGCCCCAGCCCAGCCTAGGAGATGCCCGCCAAAGAGTACCACGTTATCGACTAGACTGCGGCCCTTAATGAAGCCTTTCTGCACGGGGTCGACGACGTCGGCGGCGACAGCTTGGAGAGGCTGGGCGAGAGCGGAGCAGACGATTGTGTTGTCAGTGTTGGAAAGAGAGAGGAGACGGGCACCCGTCGGGGCGCGTTCTTCCTGACCACCATTTGCGATAGCACCCTTGGGTAAGAACGCGCACTTGCAATGGTTGAACTCGTCATCGAGAAGCCCATCTGAGAGGAGGTGGAGGTACAGGGAGTAGAGCGCTTGCTTGACTGGCAGACTGGCAGCCCTCCAGGCCGCATACGGAATGCCATCAGGGCCTGCAGCGGCATCCTTTTTGCGCATCAGGCCTTGGACGAAGGATTCCTCCGACAAAACCCAGTCGTGCCGCTGATGTGATTGTGTCACATATTGCTCTTGTGTACCGTCAACGGTTTGTGTGCGCTGAAGGTCTGTGTTATCATCGGAAATCCCATCGCCAGGTCCGTCCAGGAAGACCTTACTCCAGTAATCACATAAAAGCTTCTGCGACATCTCGGGGTCGGCGTGGGCTTTGCCTTCTGGGTCCTTCACTGCGGCAAATTTGAGGGTCGGCCGCGAGGTAGCCGAAGCGGAAGAGAGACGACGAATTCGAGCAAGAGCAGACGCTTGAGCATCGCCTGTCACGCCAGGCGCCTCAAGGATCCTCTGTTCCTCCTGCTCATATCTCGATGCAGCTGCGAAAGCATAGCGTGAAATTCAAGCCACTGCGCCCAAAGCATCATGTCGCAATCAAAGTATTGTCGAAGCTGAGGGAAAGCACGACAGGCTCTTCTGGCTCTTCGTTCGTCTTGCCGACGGTGCGCGCGCAGCAGCTGTAGGCAGGTGTGCGCCTTAGAAGCCAGACAGGAGGCACCCTTGGCCTCAATGCGCTTAAGAACCTGATGGCTGGCACTTCTCATCAGCGCCTTGATTTCTTTTACACGTATGTTGGGGTTTTGCCATCGATGCTCATGTCTAGGAACTCAGGAAACTTCGGACGTTTGGCCGCCCAACCAGGTGCAGGCGGAGGTTTCCCTGAGGGCTTGAACGGCTTCATACTAAGGAAGACGGGGGAGTGGTCAGAAGGCCTCACAGAGTCCGCGATGTCCCGGGAGGCGCCCATCAAAACGACAGCGGGGATGTCAGTGTAGACCCCATCCAGCCTAGCATACGAAGTGTCATCCCGAGTGGCGCGACGGCGAGTATATGACAGCTGCTCAACTTCACAAAACCGAAGGAAAATCTCATCGAAAAGATTAGAGAGACGGACCTGGCCAACTCGATCAGCACCGTTACGGACCGAAAAACGACCTTCACCGGATACTAAGTAGTTGAAATCACCCGCAATGACACAGGAGTTGAGAGAGGAGAGGTGGGACCTGATGTTGTGCATCATCTGCCGTGCGTAACCTTCTGTCCAGTCAGGGTCGAAGTGGGGGTTGACTAGCTGGAGGTTGCCCTTTGGGCCTTGCAGCGTGAGGATAGCGACTCTGCCTTCGTGAAGAATCTCGAACGCGTGCGTGGCGAAGCACTGAAAGAGAGCTTTGCGAACAAAAACGAGGATGCCACCTGCGCTCGCAGACGGGCAGGAGGAGCCGAACACCTGCATATCGTTGAAATCCTTTCCAAAGTATCGAGGTCGCCCTGGTGACCGTGACTTTCCTGGATACAGAGAACATCATGTGAACGGAGGAAGGGGGAGAGACATCTATACTTGCTACGGCTGCGAGCGCGAGAGGTGGCAAACGAGCAGAGAAGGGCCTGCGCGTTCCACGAGCAGACAGACAGAGGCGAATCAGACAAAAAGAGGCTCAGGGTGGGTGGCGCTACGTCAGTATGCTGGAGCCCCTCTCCAGCAGCAGGTAAAGTAACTGAAACTTCAGGAATGTCCATGTCCGCCGTCAGGTCCTCGTGCACTTGCTCGTGCTGTTCCTGGCGCTCGTCCCGTGGTAAAACGTGTCAAAGAGACTTGGCGATTTTGCTTGCTTCGAGGATGATAGCATTGACAGCTGTGATGTCCAGGCCCCGCTGGCGCACCTCGCTCTCGTTAGCCTCGAAGTGGAAGTCGTCGTCGTTGTTGTAGATCAACTGAATGATCGGCCAGATGTCCTGCTGGTCGGTCAGGGAGAGCGCCCTTGAAGCTGTTCGCTCGGATGTAGAAGTTCTCGTTCCAGTTGGCCAAGCCCTTGCACATCGCCTCAATATGCGGGTAGATGGTGGCAAAAATCCTCTTGCGTGCCCTAACGTCGGGTGGGAGATCTCCGCGTGCTCGAATCTCCGTGTGCTTGCCGTCGCGGTTGTTGAGCCATTTGGAACCGTTCTGCGCGTACTGGAGCCGGAAGCGCCTCGCCTGGTCGGCGCTCTTGAACTGGATGGGGTAGGTCTGCCCTGTCTCGTGAATCTGCGTCGTCACATCTGCCAAGGTCTCCGCATAGATGGCCTTGAGCTGATCGTAGCAGTCCTTCATAACTCTGCCCAGGACGGGCCTTGGCAAAATGCCCATGAAGACCTTGGTGGAGTCACTGCCTACGGGGCCTGCGGCATCCAACCTGCGCCGCTTGCTTCCCATGGTAGCTGTGGTTGCCGCCGAACTCGCTGTTGACGGGGCGACCGACTGGTTGGCCATCTGCCTCTGCAAACTCCTTATGGCGTCGTCTTGCTGGTCGAGACGTTGATTGATAGGAAGTAGTGCTGTCCCAACTGCTGTGCCCACAGAGGCATTGATCTGACTGGTCAGGGAAGCCTCGAGGTTGTGCTGCATCTGCTCTACGATTAGAGCAATCTCCGCTGCTGATGCCATGACCTCTTGTGTGTGATACTCCCGTGATCACGTCAAGAGAAGGCTGCGAGCAGGAGGGCTCTTGGCCCCAGCAGCGCGCAGCTCGACTAGGGGTGCCTGAAGCAGGGACTAGCCTCGGACTAGAGGTATCCGTTTCCTGCCCAAGGGACAAAAACATCTTGAGCCAAAATGGCTACGGAGGAGGAGGAAGAGGAGGAGGAGGAGGGGGAGGAGGGCAAGCTATGTGCGCTCGCGTCACATCTGACGTCCTACCCCTCCCTCCCATCCCTTACCATGGCGCTGATTTTCTCTATCCGCGGACGCGTGTCGTAGCGGACCTGTGGCTCCGCGCGCGCGCGTGCGTAGTGGGTGGTGGTGCGCGTGCGTGCGTGCGTGTGTGCGTGGTTGTGGTTATGGTTATGGTTGTGGTTGTGGTGGTGGTGGTGGTTGTGGTTGTGGTTGTGGTTGTTGTGGTGGTGGTTGTGGTGGTGGTGGTGGTGGTGGTGGTGGTGGTGGTGGTGGTGTGTGTATGTGTGTGTGAGTGTGCGCGTGTGCTGTGGTGTGACGTGGTGTGGCGTCTTGGTGGTTTGGTGGTGGGCCAGGTGCGTGCGTGCGTGATGGCGGTGGTGGTGGTGGTGGTGGTGGTGGCGGTGGTGTGTGTGTGCGTGTGTGTGCGTGTGTGTGCGTGTGCGTGTGCGTGTGCGTGTGCGTGTGCGTGTGCGTGTGCGTGCGTGCGTGCGTGTGCGTGCGTGCGTGCGTGCGTGCGTGTGCGTGCGTGCGTGCGTGCGTGCGTGCGTGCGTGCGTGTGTGTCTGTGTGCGCGCGTGTGTGATGTGGTGTGACGCGGTGTAGCGTGGTGGTGGTGGGTGGGGTAGTGGGGTGGTGGTGGCGGTGCGCGTGCGTGCGTGCGTGCGTGCGTTGGTGGGTGGAAGTGGCGGTGGGCGGGGCGGGGCGCGGTGCGGTGGCGGCGGGCGGATGGGCGCGCGAGAAGAGGCCCGCGCTGGGGCGAGAACGCCATCCTGAACGACGGAGGCAAAACACCGATCCGAAAAATAGACCCACGCTGCAGCGGGAGCACGATTCGGAACGTGCGGGGCCCGAAAATGAGGCCGGCGCCTCAGCGAGAGCAGCATTTTGAAAAAAATGCAGGCGAAAACCCAACTCCCGGGAATCCTGTGTGCAAAAAAGCAGGACGCGGGGGGGGGGCGAACACTCCCAGCACGTCATCAGGGGAAGAGGG